GGTAATTACATCTATTCGCTACGAATTCATGATGCTAATTAACATCTGTATATATTCTCACATTCAAGAATTATTGTTGGATGGACTTTTATATCGTATTAAAGGGCTTGAAGAAGAGATTCGTAGGTCACTCTCACCTATATAAGACGGCTGAATCCCGTTGTTCTGCAGCCGTTGGCTTTTATAAGACGTTCAGGTTGACGCAGTCGACGAGACCTCCTTCCTCATTTCGGATGAAAATGGGCTGAGCTTTCGTCTATCAGTATTAACTTAAAACTTTTACAAAAATTAGTTCCAGCTCTGACGATTTTCATCATTTGATAAACAAGAGCTCAGTTCGTTTTCAACCGAAACGAGGAAGGAGGCCCTGTGGACAGCGTTAACCTGAATGTCATATGAAAGCCAAAAGGCTACAGTATAAAGGGTATCAGCCGTCCTCTTCTGATGAGATCGACCTACGAATCTCTTTTTCATGCAAGAAAGTCACCAAACAATTTTATTTAGAAGATTGATCAAAACATAGTTTTTATTCGTAGCTTCGTGAGGATTACTCACATGAAAGAAGTTTGACCAAATAGTGATGCCCATTGGAGTAAAATTAGGCATCGCCTTCTATACTACCGGAATGTGAATGCTATGAATCAATGGCTAGCGTAATATGTCTGGGCCCATTTTACAGTTAATAGAAATCCTCTTAACCCACCAATGCATTTTATGCTTTAAAGTTATCGTAGATTCTCTGTCCTAATAATTACACATTTATAATCAATGTAATATATCAAAATACATAATCGTTTTATTCCATGCTTTAATACCTAAACATTATTATATATAAGTGTATATTAATCATAGATTAGTTATTATACTTTCAGGAGTAGTATTTATTTAACTTATTTTGTTTAAGGAGTTCATATTATTGCGCCTATTTAAAACTGTTCTCACATCGTGATCTTCTTCCCCGCGTCTCGGCTATGGCTACTCAATTGTATGCTATTTTTATATTGCTGAGTTTAGATGTGACATTGGACTTATAGGACTAGCTGTCATGGGCCAGAATCTTGTCCTAAACATAAATGACCATGGATATAAAGTTATTGTCCTTGCTAATTTACAAATTACCAGGTCTGCGTTTTCAATCGAACAATTTCGAAAGTCGGCGATTTTTTGGAAAATGAAGCTAAAGGGACAAAAGTTATAGGCGCGAATTCACTAGAAGAGTTTGTTTCATTACTAAAAGAGCCCAAAATTGTAATGCTTATGGTTAAGGCCGGGAACGCCGTAGATTCATTTATTCAAAGTCTAGTAAGTTTTTTATTGTAAGCATTAAAAATATAAAAATGTGAAACTTTGCATACGTTTTTCTCACCTACTCTTAAGGTGTACTTAGTACCAAAACTTTATTTTGCGCTTATTGATGAATTGCTCATTCATTACATCTATTAGGCTCGTCTTGTTTATTCTTGTTCATGCAAATGAGTATATTTTATGATAAAATTTGAAGGCCTTGCCGAAATAATCGTCATGAAATGATTCATATTGAGTATATCTTACTTTTGTATGTATTCATAGCCTGAGTTGAATAATTTTTTATATGAATAATAGGGAGCTCTGCTTTGGATATTGATAGCTAATAAAAAAGTTTAGGACACTAGTACTCGCTAGTTTACAAAAATCTTATTTTTACCATCATATAAACCTGTTTGTTGTAACGTATATCACCCTCAATTTATATTGCTTACATAAGCTTGCAAACTAATTGGAAAACATCTGATTTTTATTTATTTATTTTCTCCTGTTTAGCTAGCTTGATTTTTACCTTGCCTAGTATAGCTTACATCGTTTTCTCTTTGTACTCATCATGCTCGCCTATAACTATTCATTTATCAAAAAAAATTTCTTATCACCCTTTAACTTATTTCAGATTCCCTTATTATCGAAAGATGATATTATTATAGACGGAGGAAATTCAGAATATACTGACACCAACAGACGCTGTAAGGATTTGGCCGCAAAAGGTATCATATTCGTTGGTGTCGGCGTAAGCGGTGGTGAGGAGGGGGCTCGTACTGGTCCGAGCCTTATGCCTGGAGGAAATCCCGAATCTTGGTACATTAAAAAATATTTAATGGTCGCTTCTATTTCTTATATAACATAACTTGTTCTTATCTTTAAGATATTTTGTTTTTGTATAAGTTGAATCATCACATCAATCTTAATATTTTATTATGCTAACTCTCCCAGAATTTATCTCCGTGGTTATGGATTTATCTATATCTATTATATGAGGGTAAAATCTTATGCTAATATAAGACTTTCGTGGCTTGAATTTAAGTACTAATGTGAAATAAGTTTATCTGTATGGTAATGCGACTCATTTCTCTTTATTGTATCCTATTAGCGTTGCAGGATTTAAGCTGGTTTTATTGTTTATTAAATATAGCTGGCCATTTTTTATATTATTTTATCATACTCTTTCGTGTTACTGATAAATGGAATTTGTGATGCCTAGTATATTTCAGTTCTGTTCAAATTCAAGGAAAGATCTCTAGTCGTTGCTTGATAAATTCGTTTGATGAATTTCTGAAGTCCTCGTGTTTAATAGAGTTGAGTTCCATTTCATAAATGATCGGCTTCGACCATACAGGTTAATGGGCAATCTAATTTACTAGAAGAAGGCCTTATAATTTACAGCAACTCACTTGATAGCGCCTTGCTTCTTTCATTCTTTCTTGCTATTGCTGCTCAAGGATTGCTATTTTTCTTCTTGTCTAATTATGATAGTAGCCAATAAAAGCAATAAATAAAGTCATATTTTTGTTGATTTTTAAAGAAATGACCCTTTGAACTTCCATATGTTGTGCTTGTCTTGGCTCTGATGTTGCGATGCGATCAGATTAATAAATTTAACTCCACGATTGATTTACTATTCCTGTACCATCGGAGCCAGACAATGTTGTTCGTAAGTGTGTAGCGAAACTGGTTTTCGAAAAATGCCTTAGCAGATTCATGTTCAACTACCTTTCATTTCTTTGGAGAGACGAATTGAAGGGATTCGTAAGTTGGCCTCACCGGAGGCTATAGGGAGATCGCCTCGAAGCTATGATTGTAGATTGGGGCGAATAGGTCCTTAATAAACAGCCATGCAACCCCGATGAATCCTTGCTGAGCTTTCGGTCGTCATATTACGGACATCCTCAGAGCATGACACCATGCTTTACAATAATTCACCAAGCAAAAGAAAAGAAAGCTGGTTGGCTACAAGAATATCAACTTTTTATAGTTTAGTTAGGCCCATTTAGTGAGACATTTCATGATTTGGTTGAAGTTCCTATGCTTTCCATACATGCTGTTGAAAAGTGAAGTGGCTGCAATCGAAACGAGAAGCGGAAGAATTTGTGACCGAACAGCTGCATCCTCCCTTCAAACGCTTATATTTTTTTGTTTGATCCTAAAATTGTGCCGCATATGATTGCATTCCACTTCACATGTTTTATGTGCATGCAATGCCCGTGAGGCTCGTGGGGTTGGAGATTTCAAACCAGATTTGAGGTTGATCAATACTCTTTTTCTTCGGCGATACTTCTTGTTCTTTTCTTTCGAGTCCTATCCAACAGCCACAGGTAGTTTCCACTTAATTAACCTACACTCGTTCCTTCTATTCAGGATGTAGGCTATTTTGTTGAGTTCTATAGATTCCTTAATTTTCTGCTTACTAGTATACTCTCAATATCAAGCTAAGCGTTTGGCATTAGACCAATCTATCTTGTGTCCTATGTGACCTATGTGTTCTGCCAGTCCTCACTTTTGGACAAACAAACGCTTGCAGGCTGTTTTATGTTCAGATAACCTCATGTATGTGTCGACAGGTCTTCCCCACATATACGCTTCCACATGGGCATAAAACCTCATGTAAAGTGAGTCTGAATTATTCCGAAGAGATGGCATTACTGAGGAAAGTGCTATTTTCTTCTTATAAATTGCCATCATATCCGACAAAATCATGAGATGACTCACTAAGTGGATATAGCTAAACTATAAGAAGTAGTTAGGATTGCTGCCGACCACCTTTCTTTTATTTATGCTTGGTAAATTAGCGTAATGCATCGTGTCCTGTTCTGATTATGTCCGTCACATGACACCAAAAATCAGCAAGGATTCATCGGTACCGCATGGTGGTGCACCGAGGACCTATTCACACAAATCTACAATCTCAGCTCTTCAACAATCCACATACAGCTTTCGGTGAGGCCAACTTATGAATCCCTTTTATTCGCATCTTCAAACGAAATGAAAGGTAATTCGACATGCAATGCTGTTCATTTTGCCACTCACAAAGTCACTTTATACTTCTTGGTTTTATCAACACATTTGGTATTTGCATTTCATATTATATAGGAATTCATTCATCTTAGATTATTGTTATTTACGTGACAATTCATCATCTTCAAACGATTTTACATAGAGACCTGTTTCTTTATTCGTTTTCCCAGCTTTAGTGTTTCAAATTAACTTTTAGCATTTGGATCAATGCTACTTAAAGGTAAATATAAATTGTAGACAAATTTAAACGAAATTCTTCGTTCTAAAATCACTCTTCTATCTCCAACCATCCATTCGCAATGTTTGAGCATACTTTATTTACCGATTGTTGGTACATCGCTTGGGCCATTAAATTTAAATTATGTTAAAAATGTGATCATTAGGCTTTATGGACTATTTGCCTGGCCTTAAGTCCTTGTTTATGTACTTTGCGGCATAATTGTATAATACACGAAAATGCGGGTTTCGAGGAATCTCCTGAGATATTTCTATTGTTAAGAATTTCTTTTCGTATAAAGTGCATCATTAGGATATTCGTGGGCCAATCTCACCAGAAGACGTCGGCTGATTTGCATTGTACTGCCGCCGTTTGGCATTAATACGACGTTCAGGTCGATGCAGTCCACCAGCCATCCTCTAACGTTTCGATGGTAGACGGGGTGAAATTTCGTTCGTCATATGACGAACATCGTCAGGGCGATGAATCATGACTGGATATGAGATAGAATGGTCTCGGATGCAGAAATTTTCAGATTATGGTATGTCGGCTACCAAACGCAAGATAGGAGAGGCTATATAAATTAACAGATTAAAGAATGCGTTGAATGTGAAGAATGGTGATAGAAAGTTATGTAAGAATTAATAATGCTTGATTGAAAAATTAAAGCAGAAAGAGGATTTTGACTCGCCATCAAAAATAAGACGACTCAACTCGCCAGCTGAACGATATTTCTAACACAGGCATCTGAAAGTTCATCAGCCAAAACAGACGCGTAAGTCTACACAATCCCAGCGATGCGTATCCCTGGGTCAATAAGCCTCTTTTATTCTATTCTATTCTACTCTATTCTATTTTATTCTATTCTAGTCTAGTCTAGTCAGTCTAGTCTAGCCTGGTGGTTTAGTAAACTGACTTTCACGCGTACAGGCATACATCTCATCAGTATTTCTTACGGACCAACGCGATCTCGATCATGCCTTTTTCTTTGGGTCCTTAGGCCTTGATGGCCCGAGGCTGACACTAACCTTTTTTATAATTACTTTGAGTTATAGTCTGCTTTGCGTACATACATTAACAAGCATTAAGACACAAACACATTCGAGTATAAGTGAATTACACGAACCTTTATATATTCACTTATCTGTAAATTTTTCTCACAATATACATATATATATTTATGTAGGAAAAAGTCGGCCAACCTTCTTGACTTGGCAGTAACTTAAGGCTATGCAGGTATGTCCCAGCTATGACGATATCCGTCATAAAACAAATGCAATTTTAGTCCTTCCGAAACGTTGGAGGATATCTCATGGACTGCATCAACTTGAAGGTCATATTAAAGCCAGAAGGCAGCAGTAAAATGCGAATTAGCCGGCGTCTTCTGTTTAGATTAACCTACGAATCTCCTTATCAATCACTTTCATATGAAATGAAAGTCTTCACAACAGTAATTGTTTAAGTGTTGGTTCAACCTCGTTTTGGCAACTTGGTCAGTGTCAAGGATACTTTGTGGAATGTATCTAGTCCTGTGTCCTCTGCCATAGCATTTAAGATTTTCAGCATCGGACCATTGACTTGGTACATTCCAAAACATTTCGCCGGTATTTCAACGAGAGGGGCTATCATCAGCAAAGAGTTACAATTGATCAAAGTGACATGAAGGAGGTCCCTTTGACAAATTGTTCAACCGTTGAGGCACCACTCCTCGCCCCTATTTTTTGTTCTACCTTCTACTGCTGCATCTCCTCAACCCCACTTCATATAGTCCATATAACTATTCACACA